ATAAATATAGAAGAAGAAGAAGGTTGTAAATGGATATAGAAATAAAGAATTGAGAATAAGATAATAAGAAAGAAATGAAGAAGTGAAGAAGTGGAAAAGTAAGGAATAGAGTTATAAAAGTGGAGAAGAAATGAGGAAAGAGATAGATAAGAAAGTGAAGAATGGAAGATAAAGAAATAAGGAAGTAAAGAAGAAATAAATATAAAAATAAAGGAAGGCTCGAAATGATTCCAAGAGACCAGTATAGGAGACCGGCTCGAGGAAGAATGAGCGCTCGGAGTCCGGGCACTGCCTCGAGCGCCCCCACCATCCGCCTGTTCCCACTCGCCGAGTCCTGCGCGACGAATTTGCGCGCACACGATTTTGGGCAACTTGCAGTATTTCTAAATATACTTGGCCAGAATTTCCGATTTCTAATTGTTAATATCTTACTTTATTGATTTAATTAGTTATTTTAAAGTTCCAATCACCTAATTTATAATATTAATATTTCAATTTGGACGTAATTTTTTTTCAATCTTTACCTACTCAGTATATTCTGTTTATTTAAATTTAGATTTTAATTTAACTTCAATTTTATATTTTGAATAAATTTTGAAAGTAAATCAATATCCAATGATATGTCGTATTATTTATAAAGCTTTATTGAATTTTTCGAATTTTCGTTAATTTTGAATTTGAAACCAAGCATCAGAAAATAAGTAATAAAATAGTATTCAATGTTTATAATACTGTAATTTGTAGTAGGGTTTTAACTCGATTACTCACTTCATTATAAACTACTGTATTCTAAATAATTAGTAAGGTTTTCTTATTGACCGTTTAAAGTTCATTATATTATTACTTTCAACTATTTTACTTCAATATGTACTACTATTCGCAATAAAACGATGATAACCAAATGATGACTCTTCAAGTAAACATAAAATACTTAGACCTGGCACATCTCCTCTTTGGTGGAGTCAGCCATAAGGAAAGGAAGGAAGGAATAACATCTAAATGGTACCAGCGGTGAGCTGCGGAGAACCTCTGCCGCCAACTTATCCGTACGTGATCACGTTCAACTCGACTACGGCGGGATACGCTTTATCGACGGAGGCGATGATCACAAAATTCTACTTCCGATGTTGCCGCTACGATTTAGCACCATATTTTTGGTATCGCCTAAAACCGTAGCGTTGCGCATCTCCCTGCTCATCTCTGATTCTGCAATTACTATTTCAAATCTATCGTAGTTTTCTTATATGGCTATCGTCATATTTGAGTGCACTGTCAAATTTGACAATTAAGTCTATTTTGCGTATTCCTTTAAATTCTAGTAAATCTATAATAATACATCACATGAGCTGCTCAGTTCTTGATTCACTTAGATATGAAAAAGTCGCAATGATACCTGCATATAATTTTAATAATATATAAAGAATTGTAATTTCAACTAGTTCTTAAAATTTACAAGTGTCAATCTAACCTAACCTGTAATTATGTTAACTACAAGCATCAGCATCGAACAAGATGGTTTTGGTTATGTACCTAAAGAAAACTCGAAATCAAACGCTGGATTATTCAACATTGTTCGGAGGTATTTGTTCACGTAAGATTTTTATCTGTCTCGTTATAATATATTTATATTACCAGATATACGTTAACTAACAAAAAAAAAGCATCAGTGCGATTAATTAGTTGGGGAGCATCCATTCAGTCAGTTAGGATACCAAACAAAGATGGCGTTTTGGGCGACGTCGTTTTAGGATACGACAGTATGGATGGTAATCTAAGCCCCAAACAATTGTCCAAATGCAACGTAACTAATTGTCATGTATGATTAGGATATTTAAACAATAGATATTTCGGAAATATCATTGGTCGTGTGGCGAATCGCGTGGCGGAAGGTTTAATTTATATTAACGGTAAAAAATATGAATTAACAAAGAATGACGAGAACCAAAAAAATCATATAAACGGTGGAATCTACGGTTTCGATAATGTTAATTGGGACTCGTGTGTATCCGGGAAACAAGTGGTAAGTCCCATAAGTGTATAATACGTACGCGAGTAAGGTAAGACACAAGAAATATTGAACTATATTGTTTAATGCAAATTGAATATAAAAATGTATTCCAAAACAGGTGATGTCTAATCTTAGTAAAACCGGAAGTGAAGGCTATCCGGGACATATGTTGACCCAAGTGAAATACACGTGGACAGATTTAAATGAACTGCACATCAACATTCGTGCCACTTCCACGGAAGCTACACCAGCCAATATCACTAATTATTGTCTATTTAATCTTGCAGGCCATGTACGTTGAAAGAATTATTTTTAAAAAGTTTTTTTTTTTTTTCATTGAATCAGATACTAAATATGTTTCTTTAATATATCTGTGTACTACAAATTATTTTACTACAGGGCATGGGAGTTAAGGAGTTGAGGAAGCACATAGTAACAATCAATGCCGACAAATGGACATTAATGGATATACGGGATAATTTACCTATTGGATTAATTGAACCGGTAGATCAGACTGTCTATGATTTGCGTACACCGACTCAATTGAACAAACAGACAATGTATAATGTACCAGGAGGTGGATACAATCACAATTTATGCATAACGACCCCGAGCTGTTGGTGTTATAGATTTCATGCAAGGTATAATTAAAGTGGAATAATTAATACGATTCTAGTTAACGAAGAATTTTTAATTAAACATTTTTTTTTCAGAATTTTACATCCAGATTCTGGTAGATTTTTGGAGGTTTATTCGAATCAGCCAGGATTGCAGTTTTACACAGGAAACGACTTACCGGATCCAAATCGTAATTACCCACCGGATCATGATGATTATTATTGGGGAGGTTGTGGTGATTCCCCGGATAAAACTGAACAAGTTAATTAACTATATTTAATTTCATAAAAAAATGATCTGACTGTTACTTAAAACCAATATTTTTTTCCCCTAGAATACCAATGTGTCAAACAAAAATTTGTATTTTCCTGGCAAAGATGGCGTCCTGTACCGTCGTCATGGCGGATTTGTTTTGTCACCACAAAATTATCCCGATGCCGTAAACATTGAATCGTTTCCATCCTGCATTCTTCATCCAGGAAAAATGTACACGCACGACATGACATACAGGTTTGGTGTACGCTCAAAAATGTAATTCTATAAGTAAAATTATTTTTTTAATATACGTACCACCAAACGACTATCAGGACCGAAGAGTAAGATTCCATACCCCGGGTGATTAGCATACCAAACTGATAGTCCGGTGAGTTTGGATTTAAATCCAGACCCCAGAGCTTCTCGTATCTTTTCCGTATACCCAACCTTACCTTACTGCCTTACAATTTCCACTGTTCCAAGATAAAATTGCTTTAAAAAAAAGGACAATACACCTCTTATAAAAAGGCATGCTCTATCGGGTGACTACAAAGTAAATTTTTATTTCCATAAACTAATAATAATATTACATTGGACAGTTAAACAATACACGGATGAACAATCTCAATGATAAATTTACAATAACTCCCTCCTTACGAGCTAACGACGATTCATCCGAAATAATCATAATAACTTACAGTCGATGACGTTAGGTAGATAATAATATATACAGATCGCCATTATATTACATCCCTCGTCAATTAAATTAATTACACGCAAACTGTCATCGCCATTTACGCCTTCCCATTGGATGAATTCGTATTGTCAATTACAGTTGGCCTCGGTACTTATCGCTAGATACATACAGATAAGTATTTGGTGTCCATTCAATTTTCAATAATTTATTCCATTCACGATTATTATTAATTAGAAGGAAAAAAAAGAACGCATCTCAACGAATCCTCGTTAACAATAATTATTGTGCCATTCAAGGTACTGCTATTCATGCATGTATAGACCGTAGCAGATTTTAGATTGTTAAATAAAAAAACAAAAACAATATACAATAATTGAAATAAAAAAATTATTGTTTAAATTTTATCTTTAAATTTTATCATACATAATCTCGGATGCATCTACTTCCAATGCATTTCCTTTCCTCTGTTAACAACAGAGTGCACCTCTTGCTTTTTATTTATTTCAAACTTGGCGCCAGTGCTGACAGCCATGACGTCAAACAGAAGAAAGACGAGTACGCACGTTGCTGCTAATGCTAAAGCTAGTCGCGCATCGAACAATGCACGTTCGCTAAAACGTAACTTCTTTGTGTCCGACAGTCTTTGTAGTCGCGTATACCGTATGTACTTGACAGTATACATATATATATATATTTCTCCTAGACTATACATATGTAAATATATATGTATACGAATGTATTTATGTATATGGACAAAAAACGTCACTTTTGCATTACACAAGAGCTGTGACGTCACTCCTTTACTCATAAAGAACATAAGATCCATAAGATATCCATGGGATGTACGTATAGGGACATTGTATAGTTTAAACAGGTAAGTACAGACGTATACTTAGGCGTAGGACCTGGGTGAGACATCGATAGGACATTTCTAGGACGTTTGTTCTCTGTGAATATACATTACTCGGGTGAACTTCAAAACTTCGTGAACGATTTAATTATCGAATTATTGATTTTTGATAGTTAGGGCTAAAATTCAAATCCTTATGGTACAAGTATATCTGATTTTTGAAGACTTATACGAAACTATTTATTAATAGTAAATCGAACGATTATTGGGTGATTTTTTATTTATGTTTCATTCAATGGCAATGACTTAGTCTGTCAATTGACTTATCGAGATCATTGATGATCTGTCATTATTATTATTAGACTTATTGCTTTTTTTCGTAATAAATGAGGGTAACAGTCAACTTTCGTAAAATTTTGAATTTTTTTTTCGTTTCTTTTTTTCATCAATATAACTTCGTAATGTGTCTTCGTCGTGATCGAAATTTGGATAATTATCAAGTTGCCAATTTTTAACGACTGAATTTCTGTCGGTTGGGACGTTCATTAGTGTGATTAATTGATAAAGTCAAAGGGCAAAAATTCTTTATCAGATTATTTCACGTTTTGAGAGAGTACTTATCGGTCAGATGATTTATTATCGTAATTAAACCTCACGATACTGATCCTTTATTTGATGACGGAAAATTATATCGATCGTTGATATTATCGTGGTAAAATATTTTTTTAGTGATATGATATAGCATTTTGATTTCTCAATAATAATGACAGCGGAAGGCGTGAAGGTAAAAAAATAAAATTTTTCAAAATTCATTACAAATGCATGCAAACACAATGCTGGTATCTCGTGTGAGCTTTTCTGTGTTTTGGCAATTACAAAATTATGCATGGATGTAATAAAACAAAATACTACAAGCGCTCCACCGTTATTAACATTTACATATAATTTACATACACCGGATGCGTAAGCGAACCGTACGGTCGAATAAGTTGAATGTAACTCAAACTTAAATTACACATTTCAATTAATTTTATTTCTTAGCTAACAGCCGAGAAAGATGTTACACCCGGCGTTGAGAATAATTTTGGAAAAATAAAAAATTTCACCCTACATTGCTCTGATGTCAAAAAATTTCATAATAAACGCTCAATACAGTCACGATCGTAATTATCTGAGAAAAGTCAAAATTTCTATCGATATTGATTATGAAAAAAAATTTTTAAATAAAAAATTACCATTTTTTTTGGTTCAGCTTCGCTACGTGCTTCTCAGTCCCATTGTGTCGCATCGATTGACGTCACTCAAAAACTCATATTTCTTTTCAATAGTATCTCGTATTTATTATCAATAACTTTTTTCTCGTATTACAATCAGCAGTGTTTTATATGTACATGACAATTAATTCTTGGTACAATTTCTACGGTGTGAAACTACCTTTATCTATAAGTCTTTCACACTTCGTGCGCTATATGGATGATCGACAGTGGGTTGTTTTTTTTTTCATTTTTCAGTATCGATTAATTCCAATACCGATCGATTCGATCGACGCGAGTGTTTCGAATACCGACGAGCAATAATTTTTTACACATACTGTACCATTAATTGTTTCCGTATATTTTGTTCCATCATCACGATTGAAAGTTCGATTAATTTTGAAATTCGAATCTCGGTAAAGGAAGCAACCGCGATTGAAGGACAGGTCCATTTTTGGAAGAAAAAAAAAAAAGTAAAATGGAATCTTGACATCAAACATGCATCATTTTCAACATCGACAGCGTAAGAGTAACTTACGTTAAGTTTTTTTGTTACGCAGAGTAAATAAATCATACAGGCAATACGCTGCTATTATTTACAGATATTCGACGGAAATGATAATTAGTTAATCATAATTAATTACAATAATAAGCATAATAATCATTGTATTAATTAATAGCAATTAGAATAATTAAATAATCCGCTTTTTATTTATAATATTAATCATAATAATAATGACAACGACGCGTCTTCCAACCGGTCATCGATCGTGGCGCCATTAACATTTCCCGTTGCCTTTATATCGTTTTCGAAATTTAAATTTCCCGCGCTTCCTCTCGTCCAATAGCCCACCATTGTTTTTCCGGGCGCGCAAATCTTTATCGCGTCTTATTATGCTGCGTTTGCGATTAATTAATTAATCAATCGATTAGTTAGCTACACACAAACCGATCGCTCGGGAAATTATCGCTCGTTAGAAACAACGTACGAAGAAAAAGCCGAACATTGTGTAGGCGAATAAATACTATACACACGATGTACGAGAGAGACGGAGTGAAACTTGGGAAACCGTTGGAGGAAGTAGGAATTATTTTGGATTGATAGAGGGGGTAGGAGTGGGGGGGGGAAGTATTGGCAATACTTTTAAACTTTTTCAAAAATCTCGTACAAGATTGGATCCTGCCCAATCGTTGTCGCCGCACAGCGCAAGTGTATTTGAGGTTAGTTTTCATTTAATCGTTAAATAAAAATTTCTTACCGCGTTTATTACATTTTTTTTTCTTTCTTTCTTTCTCCTATTTTTTTTTTTTCATATAGTGCGTTTGATGCCAAAAAATAAAATAATCATGCGGATTACAGAATGGAAATATTCTACGTCGAAAATACGGTCATTTTATTGTTAACTTCCGGTTAAGGGTACTCGCACGTTTTTTTCTTTTTGTTTTCAAAATTTTTTATTATTTCTACGATTTTATTTTGAGTGATGTTAACCTGCTTCTTTTAGTCACAGCCAGAAAAATTAATAGAAACGTTACGAGCTGTTGGATGGTCGTTTCAAATTGGGAAATTATCGTGGGAGACGATAAAGGAACCGGAAGTGACGTATATTTAATCCTCTCGTCAGGTATGAACGACGGTTCTTAAAGATGATCGATTTCGAATATATCCTTGACGTTGTTTCCGTTCGTTATCTTTGCTATGCATATATTTCTCTATTGGAAAGAAATAGGGAAAGCAGTGACGGACGTGGGTTATAAAAACACTTTGGCGCTTTCGATGATTTTACAAAACGAAAAATTCAACAATACGATAGCTGAATAGGACTAGAGTCAAAAAAAGTTTACAAAAAAAAAAAGATAGGCGGTACTAACGCCATCATATAATTAAGATACAAATTGTTCCTGATCGTGTTAACGTGGATTAGATTGATAAACGATAAATAAAATTTAATAAGACTAAAGAAAAAAAGAGAGAGACAAAGAGAGAGTGAGTAGAGAAACACGATTGGTTTACCTACAATGAATACGTGTTTAGATGCTTAATGAAAAGATAACTAATTAATTGAAATATAATTGTATAAAGACAATTAGCACGATTCTCTTTAGCTAAAGTGACAATTGTAATACGAATTGTCACCTAGGTCAATTATATTAAATAGAAACAATAGAACTATTAAATAATAAATTTTTCAAAGATATCTACATAACGAACGTAAACAAGTAAAACAATGAATTTTGTAAGCTAGTGAGTATTTGGATATTATGAGAAAAAAAAAGAATTCCTAAATGCGGCAACGAAACGCAACGACGAGTTGAAGGAAGAAAGAAAGAAAGAAAGAAAGAAAAGACAGAGAGAAGGAAAGAATTTCCTACCAAGAATTTCTTTCTGACCTACGCAGTGAACTAGCTTACACTTCCGTCGTGCGGCTGTAGGGAGAAGAGTCTTCAGATTGCGACAGCTTTCGCTCACGTTTAGCGAATAGACCCCCTAAAAAAGATGGCTGCTGAGCCAGAGCTTTACCACCCCCAGGGATAGTAGCCCCTGGGTGGACCGGATGAACTTGAACCGGATGTTTAACGCCTTGGCTCATCGAGCTGGCTGAAGTAGATTGAAATGAAATTGACATACCGCTATCCAACGAGCCGACGCTTCCGCGACGCTGTGGCTTCTCGCCAGCAACTGAAAAAAAAATGCAAGAATTATTAAAAATTATTGCAAGAAATTTTTGGTTAACGACTACAGAGAAAACTTCGACAAATGAGATGATTTACATTGCTCGTGTATGTCCAACAGGGAATTACTAAGTGCTGAACGCTTAAGCTGGGTGTCCATGTCGGCGACTTCTGGTCTTTCCGAGCAGGGACCTGGACAAGGACAAACTTCCACATCAGCCACTCCAGAGTCACGATTCTCAGCGCTACCACGTGCTCCTCTGCTGCTCTTCTGTCGCTCGAGTTCAGTTTCGATCCTCAACGTTTCCATCTCGTCCATCTCGCTGATGGACTCCCTGAGGTCCTCAGCAAATTTGCACCGATCATGCTCGTTTCGAGCATTGAAAGTCACCAGCACCTTTCCGTCAACGCGCTGAGACAGCCTTATCCCATATGGATAATCTGAAAGAGACAGTACCGAGATTAGTATAGTTGATAAAAAAACTTTTTTTTATAGATAATTATGAAAATTTTTTCTTCACTTGGAATTGATCTTCAACATATTTTTAAGAAAGGAGTCTAAGCAGTCTACCAATCAGGGTACTGGTACACGCTGCTGTTTGACTGTCTGGTTACACTGTCAATGTTTTACAGGATATTTCAAAAGAAGCAGACAAAGACAAGTATCTACTCACGAGGAACTTCAAAGAGCGTGACGACCATTCCGCAAAGTGGAAAACTTTGTCTGAACGTATAGGTGACGCTGCTCTTCTTCTTGCTGAGAATCTTTGTAACGACCAGTAGATCGTTAAATAGAAAAACTTCCCTCTGATGAACACCCGGTCGTTCCTTCTTGTGAATATCCGGTATCTCGTACAGTCTGCAGTAGCAGACGAGTCTTCTGTGTGGCAAGGCCATGTTTGGTTTTTTACCAACAATGGTGGCCTGAACTTTCATAACCTGGGTGACGTGATCAGAGCCAGGTTTAAATTCGTTAGCCTTGACACGCTCGTAGATCCCAACTAGGATATCCCTGTCGATGTCGCCACAGTCATCGATGCCTCTTAGATTTTTAACAAAATCATCCAATCGCATGCGTCTCTCGGGTTTCAGGTTTGGCGTGTGCAAATCTGTGTTGAGCATAATAATGGCGAATGCAAGAACGAAGACCGTGTCTGGCGAACGCAGCCTGGAGACGACGTCAGGATTGCACTGACAATAACGCTGACTAAAAATCTCCATTAGACGTTCAATCTTCTGGGCCTCACCAGGCATACGGAAGTATGCCTGAAACTTTCGTAAAGCCACGTCGACCTGCATTCCTGATAGGTCCAGCTCGTGGGAGAAACATCTGTTGACATAAATAAATTCATTATAATTTATGGCATTTTGCGAATCAAATGTTTTTTATAAAAGAAAAAGCAATAACGGTGTTAATGACTCTTTTGCAATTGGATTTAAATTTAATAAACGATGCAAGTAAATGGGTCTTAATGGAAATGTCACTGAGTGTCACCAGTGCCGTGGTTTGAGAATGACCGCCGGCAGTGAAATCGATAAACTTTTCATCGCTTTGGTTATACCGGAGGCGAGCATTCCTTATACCGGTTTCTTAGGTACACGTATACCGTGTGTTCAATTGTTTTAGAAAATTCTTCAGACCCGTTTACAAATGTGTAGACTAATTGATGCTCACTCTAGCACAGCCATGTTGAAGGTATTTTGTAGATTGCCTAGATATTCGCCAATCATTTGCTTCGACAAGCCTTTCCTGCTGATGAGGAACCTCGCCACTCCCTGAGGACTGTTCTCCAGGAAGCCGCGCCTAATCAGGTAACTGATGCCACGTTCAGGCTTCTTGTTGAAGAGGTTCAGGCCCACCCTGTACTGGCGCTTCCTGACGGTTTCCGAGACTTTGTAACTTGTCTGAGGTGGCGCCTCCGCGTGATCCATTAACGGAAGTTGATATCCTGAACTTGCATGGGAATGGCTGAGATCCTTCACGCTGCTAATCATACTTCCGGTTTCCGTAGTATGTCCGCATTCTTGATGTTCCGGTGAGCTCGACTGCTTAAATGAACATATCCATATTAATATTGTTCTTGTACATTTTAAAAATTGGAAATTTCGTTAAAGCATTTTTACAGGTTTGAAAAAAAAATTAAAAATTTTCCCAGAGAAACTTTAGGCAGAGAGGACAAAAGTGTTCTTTGACGAAATTCAGAGGAAGAGAAGAATAGAGAGGTCCAAGTCTTTGTTCCAAGTGGAAGAGGCTGGAGTCATTTGGCTGCAGTGACAAAAGAATAAAATTTGAGGAAACTCACGATTCCCTTGTGCTTCCAAATCGGTGATCCTCTGTGCGCGTCACCCTCTGAACTCTCGCAGTTGGTAGAATCGCTACCAGAACTTTGCACGGAGCTTAAGCTTCCGTTTTCGACGCTCTTGCTGAGACCATTATGACGCTGCTCCATCGACCTGGACGTAATGGAGGACGTTCTCTTGGGTACTTCCGGTGGTACCTTCTTTCCGGATCCTCGTGCTCTGCCTCCTGATCCCAACTGTGACGCACTGGTCCAGGACTGTGGCGGCGGTGCTTGCAGATTCTGGGGAGTGGAGGGAGAAGTGCACGGCGTCCGATGCAAATCACGTGGTGGCGTTTCCTGTCTTAGACCGCATAAAGCTTCCTAAAAACAAAATAAATCAACAATGAGCATATCGACCTACAATACAAAAAGAAAAGCAATTTGATTTAATCAAACGATTTTCACATCTTATCCTTCCTAAATCTCCTTGAATATCAGGTCTACAAGGGTCAGATCAAAGGGAGCATTCAGATCGAAGTGGATACCATTCGACTAAACCACCTCAGACTGAAGTTGCTCAATTCCCCTGACTAATCACTGCTCTCCTGGTCCTAACTCAATTTAGCAACCAAGCAATTCGGATCCTCAAGACCAAATCCAAATGAGCCTTTCAAAAGGGTCCAATACGCCCACGATAAATAATCCAAATTCGCAAAGTAACCCACTAAAAACGATTTCAGCAACGAAATCCAATCCTACCACAATAAAAAACAAATCTAAATTTCTTAGTACCCTACTTTGCCCTATCGTCAACGACCTGGGGAATTGATCTCACCTGAGGATTATAATAGTGAACACTGGACCCACTGCCCTGCGAACTGGAGTCCCAACATGGACTAGGAGGCGGCTGATGTCTGGAGCAAGGACTCGGTGCCAAAGACGGCGTGTGACGTCCGCTTTGGTGATGAATGCTATGGTTCCCATGTTGACCGTGCATGGCGCTGCTCTGATGACTCTGATGAGATGAAATCTGTATCTCGCACCTTCCGCTCTGGCTCCTGGGTATCGGCGACTGGGACGTCCCATCGGCATGTCGCCTCTCGCGCAAGGACATGCTCCTGATGGGCGTTGGCCTTGTGGCCGACTGAGGTTGCTGGATGTATATTTGACTGTGATAAGCCATCCTCTCGTTATCGGTCATATTGTTGCCACCTACAGGTCCACCGACGCTCGCGCCGATTCCTGGTCGATCCGACGCCTCCTGAAGCTTCCTGCTTAAACGTTTCTCGGCCTTTGCCATTGCCGTTATAGCTGCGAACTTCTTAAGGAGCGTGTACCTCCTGAAGGCGCGCTGTATCGTCAGGGCGGCGTTACGCGCCTTGACGCCTCCGTATTTTCGCTCCAGCATCTCGATTTGCTTATCGAGGAGATCCTGCGACAGCTCATACCTGTAAATAATGAAAATTTGCAAAATTAATGAAAATAGTAATAAGCATACGTACGTCGATGATATAATAAATAGTGATAAATTAGTACTGACGATTAATAATTTTTTTTTTCTTTTTTTAGGTAATTTTGTAATTTCATGGTAATTCGTGAATCTTCCGTTTTCACGTTTTAAACCACGTTCTGCGCACGCGCGTACTTTATTAAGCCGCCACTTTTCCTAGATATTAAACGGCAATTTAACGGATGGCCAGTTTGTCCCGTCAAGGATTAACGCTGCCGCGAAACGAGAACGTAAATTAGGATAGAAACTAATTACCTCAAGTTTAAACGGACCCCGGCCGACTTTTTATGCTTTCTTATTGGCCGAATTGAGTCACGAGAAACTTGCTGCTACTGCTAAGCACAGACTTGCATTGCTGTGCGAAATTTCTATTCCCTCCGCAAAACGTAAGACGGTACGACGTGCTTCGAGAAAATAATAATGCAGGACCGAAGATGCATCTATGCACCCGGTGCATCGTCTGGATGCACACGAGACCTTTGTACGATTTTTACGACCAATAGGTATACAAAGAGACAAGAAAATACCAATAAATAGCGCGCGTGTTTCTGACAATGAAATTCAGCACTTGAAAAAAAAAAATATAACTCTGATTTTTATTTTTCATCCTGTATTAATATCAGCACATAATTTTTTTTTTTTTTAATTGTAATCAAATAATAGCTCAAGAGCCAATGTACACCTTTTGTTATTTCAACGAACTGATGTTAACTGCGTTTATGAATTTTTATTGTAGTTAATGTCAAAATTCGATATTGAAGGTTTCGTGTTGATTTTTGTTCATTTTATTTTTACTATATTGTTGCCTTGTTTCAATTTATAGTTTAGCTGTATATGTATATATATCCACGTGGACACGTTAACTGATCTTTAGACAGTGGGAACAGCAGTAACACTGGGAAAATGTGAACAATGGTTTTTAAACTAGGTTCACGTCGAACAATAAAGTCCCACCCGCAGTCAAATTGAACGTTCTCTACATCCCAGCGTTTAAATTCCCATTTGTCTTATTGTACGGCCGTCGTTTCGGTACATCGAGCATGGGTCAGGCTGAGGTCACGTTGAGGGAAAGTCGAGGTAATTTTCATTTTCCTGTAATAAAATTTTGCACTTTTTTTTTTTATTCGACACGTGCACGTTCTGTGTATGAATTTACGTGTTAAATTTTTGTATATTTACCATTTTTTTTATAGGGTATTACATCTGCTTGCAAAAATTCCTTAAATTCGCAATACTCCAGACGCGAAATCGAATCGCAAAACACGTTAGGAACTGCTATGAGAATTTAATAATGGCCGACGACTGCAATTGCAGTTGCATCGTTGGTTGACGTTGCCGTATCGAATTTCCGCCAGCACTGCCAGACGCCATGTTTGGCTTACTCAGGAAGAATATCTACTACAAGAATTCCGTACTTTTCGAAATTTTAAATGGACCGTAAAAAATTCACAATTTTTGTCCACTATCTTTTTTTTTTTAATTTGATCTATAAAAAAATACTTGACAAGTCTGGAATTTCTGTGCAACGGTTTTTTGTTCATGTAGTAACGGAGTTTGAAAAAAAAAGTCCGACAGTAAGTCGTAGATGTGACTGATACCCATCGGCTTAAAAATAGATCGCGTCCGTTAACAACTGTGAGAATTTGAAAAAAAAAGCAAGGACAGTGGTTCGGAAAATTTTATATTCTGAATAATAATAAAAATATCAATGAATACAATAATTATTCAAAAATTTTATCTCAAAAAATTTATGGCACACTGACCAACTTAAAAAATTGATTTAAAAAAAATATCAAGTAAAACATTATTTTTACGAAAAACAGTAAATCAACTTGGATCAGCAATGATCTATAGATCATTAAACATTCTCGTGGAAATTGACATTATACATCGTATATCAGGTACTTTGACAGATAGTAAAAATAATCACAGTATATCTATACAGTTAACTATTTAAAAAAAAAAACCTCAAAAATGATCCAACGCATCAAAATACCAATCACATTGATTATTCACGATCATTATTGATCATTAAGTATACCAACGATACCCAACCAATCACCGATGCTTCTTTTTACACGGCAAATCACGAAAAACCACAAAGCACAATGAACTGGCTCGGCTGACTGAAGTCCGTTTAAAAATTACCAAAAATAAAAAAGACGAAAAATCAAAGAGAACGAAAGAAACATATATATGTATATAAAGACAAGTAAAACGCGTCGTTCATTAGTTCAGGCGTCCCGACGTATGACGATTTGGAACGTCTGCTGACGTCAAGCGTAATAATCGCTTGCGTCGCCATCCGACGACGGACTGTACACGCAACGAATAAGCACGTGGCAGATGAAACATCACAAAGTGTCATATTGAAAACTGACACCGACATAAAGTCACTCTCCCCTCGGAAAAAAAAATTTGAAAATTAATTTTCGAAATTTTGCAAAAAAATACATGTGTATAATTTCATGCCGCCACCCTAAGCATTCAGCTTCTCTTAAACGTGATACCAGCCAACTTCCGGTTCCTCCCGGAAACCATTGAATATTCCTCTTTTTCAAAAATCCCATACAATGCCGCAACGTCTGCCGGGAATATCTCGCGAACAAAGGATTTCGGAAGTGTGTCTGAAGAGACCGCATTTTCCTTTGTCGTAGTTGGCAGCCCTTGCAGGTGGAGCCCTCTGCCATAATCTCTACCTACCAATGCTGCGACGATTAAACCAATCAGCGACCAGCCTCCCATGACAGCCATACGAATAACAAAAAATCTCCCAGAAATCCTGAGGCTCCATTTTCAAAATGACAAACGCGTCGAAGAAACGATAAATAATCATGAAATTCATACCGCCAACAAATGCTGTAGATCCGTGAAATTCTCATGGCATGATTTACCGAGGAAAATCTCAAAAATTGATATATACACCCATCGTGATAGATCGTCAAGAATCAGTTCACACTTTTCCCAGGCAAATTTTGAATAGGCTTTTGAAAAAAAAATGAAAAAGGTACCTGACAATGAATGGAAGATCCCATAGTGCTTAATCGATATAGGTATTCAGCCATGGTATATGCATGGGATCTCATTTGGAGACTTAGCTATGTGTTGTATATATACATATACATAACCTCATTTCGAGCAAGCATGTGTAACTTACGCGTTCTGAATTCTGCATCGCTTGAGAACGTCGCCATTACGTACGGAACCCTTCTTATGGTGTTGCTGCTGGTAGCCAGACTGGGGCTGCCCACCATATCCCTGCACCATGGTACCGTAGCTTTGAGGCTGTGGATATCCAGTGTGTGGATACGCCTGGACATTGGATGACAGGTACGTGCCGCCGTAGTTTTGACCCTGTATGTAGGACTGGCCCGTTATATAGGAAGTGGAGAGTGGAGTCTGACTTCCGGACGAGTAGACCCCGTGAACCCCACTGGCACCATGAACCTGACCGAGGTTCGTGCTGTGGTTGGGTCTCTCCATTTTTTGTGGAAAACTGTAAAAAAAAAATTGTCAATATTTAGCATAATTTTATTTATGTAACAGAGAGATTAATGGTTTTTTTTTCGTAAGAAAACTGATTACCAACTTTTTTAATTCGGTAATTAAAATACGAAATTTTGAATTAAACTTTATCGCGTGGGACTGTATTCGGGAATTAAAAATAATATAACCAGTAAAGCTTGAGGGTGCCTGGTTTGATCTTAGGACGAAGTGAGACGAACCGCCGTATTTTACCCTTTTGCAGATTAATGACGGCCCTTTACTGACTTGAGGAGTGGTAAAAGTTTTGTGCTTTAATGTAAAGTTTTGAGGGAGAGATCAATGGGAAGCTGGGGGGGTGGAAGGATTGAGGGAGGGGATTGTATCTTTGTTTAAAATATTTGGATTTGGAATATATAAGAAAACTTTTGAAAGGAGCTGTAAACGTGTAAGAGTGAAACAAAAAAAATATTTTGTATACAAGCAGCAGGATGGTTATTAATTTTGAAATTAGGAATTTCGTAGTACCCCTACTTGCGACGTAAACGGGTTATCAAAGTCGCGACGATACTGTTGATTAAATTAAAAAGTATGATTATTGTGAAAAATTCAATTTTCACTTTTTTAACATTTATCTTTATCTTTGCGCAAATTCGCTTACATTTTTTTACGATAATTCGGACATTTTCATTTTTCGTAAATCACTTTCCCTCTTTGCCTTCGATTACGGGATCGAGACGATAACTTTTTATACGTAATGTACTCGATGGGTTGCGTAATATTTTTGCCATACGTAAATTCACGTATAATTTAACGTACGCAGCGATTAACGATAAGAAAGGAGATACAGTAATATTATCCTTGCAAGTTTCTTTATCGAGTGCATTTTTTATTGCATCGTAAAACGGAAGAAAAAGAAGTTTGACGTCATAGTCGTAATACGACAGCTTATATGACCAAATCGTATTGACGATCTATTACAGTGAATTGTGTTTCGAGACAATAGAGGGAAAAAAAATAAAAAAATAAAAGGATCTAAATTGACCAATCGACAGGTCAGCCAAATCTGATATCACGTGCAGTCACTGTCGATAATCTAGATCGCCTTGAGATACAAACAAGCAGTGTCGATTGAAACAACTTTCGAAATCATTTATGTATTATATGTTTTCAATTCCCATTATGGAAGTTGGCAACGCTTCGTGTGTCCTTATTAGTCAGAGTAACCCTGAAATCAAGATCCCAGAGATTGCAAGTGCAGTGGCAATATGCACTTGCATATGCGATGCAACACGAAATTGCATTATTACATATTCATATGCAGTTAATGGAAAAAGTGTTTACATGACGTTAGAAAACGAATCAAAGACGGATATTGCAATATTTTTTTTGCTCCAGCGGAATTGTAATATTTTCATAGGAAATTGAACATTTTTTTTCTTTTAACGTGGAATAAATATTTTCTGACAATAATACTGCAATACGAATATACTTTTGTGTGCATATATTTATTTTAATTTTATTTTACTAAATATAATATAATACAGGTATGTATTAAATAAAGTTAAGATTAATCAAACTTTCATCGAGTGCGTCTTTGTACCCGTTAAAGTTAGGGAATCATGGTGAGATAAAGTTTTATACAACTTTATTAATTTTTTGTATAAAAGATGTAGGAGTCTATTTGTCAGAGTATAGCAATTCCTGAAATTCCAGGATTTGGTGTGATTAACAAGAATACCGAACGGATACCTGTCTACGAGGATATCTTGAAATTTCACTCTAATGGGGGAAACAATTGAATTTCAAAATTCGGTTGGAATTGAATGAACGAGAAACGGACGTATAAAGTAAGATAGTGTGATCGACGGAATTGCTTCCAACTGTTTAATTAATTCGATTTGAATTGAGTCGAAGGAGAGAAAGAAGGACAGAGAGAAAGAGAGAACGAGAAAGAGAAAGAAAGAGAGAGAGAGAGAAAATTCAGAGGAATAAAGAAACTTGGAGTTCAAAGGTCTCTCTTTTATGAACCCCGGATGTCAGTCTAGCCGCCTTTTCATTTTACACGGAATTGCATTGAGATGATGGAATTTCATTTGATAGTCGGCAATCAATTTTCTACCTATAAAATAAAATTGTCAAACGTTTTATCGATCAATTTAATCGATACTCCATCGAGATGAAAATATTGATTGATCGATCCAACCAATACCTACGATCAGTTAATTTTCATTTTGGACCAAATATTTGAATACACGCTTCTTTTTTACAAAATCCTTTATTTATATTTTTGCAAAAAAAAATATAATTCAAAATTGTTTTACGGTTAAAGAAATGGCTATAGAATTTTTTTTAAATATTCATCGGTCTCGTCGCTTCGGTACGTTCAATATCCGCTTTGCTTGATTGCCGAACGCAATTTCCTGTTCGTACTATGCACTTCCGTTTTATGTGCAAAATTTCCCTGGGACACGTTTTTCGCGTACCTACCAATACCCTTTAATCAGGAAGCGTTATCGTACCTTCACTTTCTCTACTTTACCTGATTAGGTTAACGACACAGTCTCGAATTCAGGACTACGGAAGAAATGGGCGGAGACTCATATTTATCGCGGGAAATTTGAAAAAGAAATTTTTCAAAAATATAACAATAAATACTAAGCTGTATAAAATTTTGATTCAAAAATTTATTTCAAATTAATAAATTTACCTTGTCCAATGAACAAGTGCTTAAAGACTAGGCCTCAGTCATGGTATCGGTTAAACTACAATCTAAGTAAGCCGTTCGATCTAATTAATTGGCACTGTAAGGCTAATGAACCTACTAACGATCTAACGAGTATTTAGTATCGATATCGCAAATTTTGATAAGTCTTCTTGAATTAATATGTACCGCAGTGCGCGCTGAGTAAAGTGCCTGGCCATTGTCATTCGGCAGGCGTTCTCAGCCAGAGTGAATTAAGCGATGAATCACATTAAGAAAATAAAAAAAAATCTGTCCCTAATAAAGATTAAAGGCTGAAACGTGAACATACCCCACAAGAAATCCGGAAACACAGATGATCATGTCGTCTGACGTTGATTTGTCGTTCAAAAAAAAAAAAAAATCCAAATACACTCAAAGTCTCATTACGTTCAAAACAATCGAGCGCATCGAATCAGTCTTGACGAGAAAAACCAATATTTTTCAAAATTAAAAATTCCGAAAAAATAATTAATAAAAATTATCACTAATATTCTTGATGATCACGATCCTCGTAATTGACATTTTACTAAAAATAGTGAATCTGCACCAAAATGTACTTCGATAAATCTTCAATGACCATTAGATACAGCAAAATCTCTGTTGCAATCGAAATTGCATCAGTAATGCAGGTGCAGCGCGTTAAACGAATTGCACGTTCGTGCAGTTGCAACTGTCAATAATTATCTTCGTTAACATTTCGTCGCACTCTCACGAGTATCGAGCACAACACACACAGCACGCTGGTCGACGAAAGAATTTTTTCGAAATTTTTTTTCAAATTCAACCTTAATATTTTTACACAAAAAATCCACCTCGAATCACAGTCCGACTAAAAGTGCCAACTGTACTTTTCACTATTTTCAAAATTGTTCGACTGTCTATTTTCGATATAAGGTCGCCAACGCCCTTTAAATTTGAAATGGAAGGGTCCTAAGGCCCTTTTTGGATTACAACGACACCACGACGGGGACTGAGAGACACGTCCGTAGGTCTTGAGAGACGGTGGTTGACTGGGTGCAAGTCGAAGCAGCTGTCCTTAGAAAGGATCTTCGAGGTCCCGAGGGCAGGAGGGCCAATTGGTTGGGACTATGGGACTAAGGGTTGGTGGTTCGAAGGGACTAGGAAGGGCCTTACACATGTCTGTCAGCAGGTATACGAGCGGAGTATGGTTGTACGTATTCACCTTTTTTTTTCCTACCGTGCCTCGTGCCTCGTGCTCTTCCTAGGGCAGTGGTTCTCAATTCGCTTTTTATAAATAATTAATAATCAATAAATAAACGTGAATAGAAAAACGGTGACCTATTGCGTCTTTGAAAATTTTCTTTCAAAATTCCGTACAAACAATTCCTCCGAATAATTATTGACCGTGTGAAAGCGCCGAATGACGATAATTAGGGTGTTCGGGTATACACTATTTATATCATTTTCATTTGGTTAGCGTTAGTAGGGTAATTAAGATTGTTCACCCGCCGGAAACGTATTAAGCTGTAACAGGAAGTTGTCCTATACGAATGAAGTTACCACGCGAAAGAATAATAACGAAGAAGACCGTGCGTGTAAGCACTGTGAGAAACGTAAGGAAATGCAAGTGTTTTCTCGATGCATATTTAGATTCCGAAAATTCCTATTTAACTTTCCCAAAAACAAATTTCTGCCTTCCCACGAGAATTTCGTATGTAAATATTTTTGGGTATCGTCACAAAAAGAATTACCCTTTAACATCCCCATTTTATAGCAGATTACCATATTAAATTAATACAAAAATAAAATTTTGTACCTTAAAAAAAAAATTGAAAAATCGATATAATTAAATATTTTTATAAAGGTCAACAACTCGTCTCCAGCCACAAGTAACACAAGAGCCAATACTTAAAAATACTTGCGGCACTCGTGCGTGACCGATAGTCAGGATTATTTAAAGCACCGAGCGAGCACGTGAGATTCAAAAAAAAAACTGAACGCCCAGCAATTTTTTAATTTTCACCCACAACAAAAAAAAAACAAAATCCTTTTAACTTAATCCACCAAATTTTGTATACCCTCGCGTTAAGTCTACCGCCAATCTATTTATCACGTGTTCGAACTGTCAAGATGCCTTTGTTTTCAGCTGCCCTGGCACGGTACAAAATAAAAAATGCAAAAAGTGCATCCACGATAGATGCATTCAGTCCCTATGCAGTTTTCACAACAAAGAACCCAAATCCTCCCCCTTCAACGTCCGACCCAAAGACTTTTTTATAGTCAAAAAATAAATCTCAAAAAAGTGC